TTTTATAATTATAAATATTCTCTTATATATTTGCATATCAAAAAATTTCAAAGTTAATACAATAATTTTGTTACTTTTAAAGATAAATTTTTATTATTGTATATATATATGGATTTATTAAATATTTTATATAAATTGCCTTTGTGTGTGAGAAAGAAAAAAATATCAAACTCTCTTTAAATAATTTTTCTGAATTATTCTTGCTTTTATTCGGTTTTTTATTCATTTTAATACTTTCCTCGAACATATGGACTTTTATGATGGAGCGCACGTGACGTCTACAAATAAGTGATGATATAATGCGCGCTGATCGACCGAGCGTGTGCAGTGGGCGCATTATATTCGTATATTAATCTCGCTGAAATATTCCAAGAAAGTCTGTCCATTTTTTCGAAAGTATTTTAATCTCTACTATCTTGTCTTGTGCACCAATTGGATGCAACGCCATAAGAATCGCGTTACATCGCGCGATATACATATATATATACACACACAAACAAAAGATATACAAGGACTAGCTTAAGTTCGGTGCTAATCGGATGAGATAAAAAAAAAACACACACACACACACAATAAGATATACACGTACACGATATACACACGTTTCCTACATACAAATGCGCGCTTCCTTAATTAGACGCGTAGAAACGCGTCGATTAATTACGTCGAATCGTAATCACGGCGGCGGAGTCTCTTCTGATCTCACGCGTCGAATATTACAATCGTGTATAAGTGGATGCGAATGTGAGAGAATATATTTGCGCTGGTGCACGTTGCATACTAATCCGGAGTCTCTCTTGCGCAAAAGATCATACAAGGGCTGTGTTTAGTCATAAACGCGCTGTTAAATAGCTAGAAAGCAAAAAATGGCTACAAATTCGTGCAACGTGTATACCAGTGAAGGATATTCTCTGGTAAGCTTTGGTTCGTCGAAACAGAATGCCGCCTCCTGCTTATCTCCCTCTCTTAATTAATTTAAGGATAATATAATTTCGCGATTAAATTAAATGATAAAAAAAGAATTTAAATTATAAGAATGAATATAATAGAATAACGAAAAAAAAAAAAAATGATGAAAAAAACAGACTTTAAAAATTACATCATCATTACGTGATCACTCGTTGTCTTCCCTCTGACGGATTTTTCTCTTTATTCTTACATCTCTATATTAAATTATTATAGAATCAAATATATAAACGTTATTAAAAAAATTTCGACTGCAATCTGCTAATGAATTATTAACGCCAATAGTGAATAAAAATATACAGATTTCGCGAAAAGAAAAATTCTGCCTATATACAATGAAATAGTTAGATGAAAAATTTCTCTATACATATATATATCAGTTTTTCAAAATTTGAAAAAGATTTAAGAAAAAGATATTGTTTATTGTTTATTCAGATAAAAAAGATACAAATTACTAATTATTATAAAATTTCCTATGTATTCTCTGAAGATGAGTATTATTAAAAAATATAGCGACTGTGTATATATATATATATATATATATATATATCATCTGCGGCTATATATATGTATATAGCTGCAGATGAGATATTTTGTACTGTTTTAGAGTCTATACACAAAACCGCAGAAAAGACTTGCGTTTGATTTTGTCTTAAATTTGTCACTCGACATTGTGCCAATTGCAAGATTTATAATGGATTTTAGAATTTATTATCATAAGATATTATTAATAGCAATTCTAAAAATTGAAATAGAATTTTTTAGCTTAAAGACAGTGCTTCCTCACACAAATAGCGTAATGCTCTTATCGATGACTCCTCGCATTGATAACATTTTGGACCTTCCATAGTAGAATATCAACCGTCTTCCATAATATCGCGTTACACACTGTAAGTACATATTCTCTGATTCATATTAAGAAAATAATCTTCCTTAACATTTCATCCTTATCCCTTTTTAAAAATGATAATAAATTTCACTTTTTTGCACAAAAAGAAAAATAAAAGGGATAAAACCAATCTTGAAACAATTTTAGTTTTAAATAGAGAGATTAAAAAAATTTAATGTGTTACAAATTTCTTTTTCAATATTTTTTAAATTGAATGTTCTTCTTTTATAAGATTTAATTAGTTTACATCTTTTATGTAGAGAGTAAATTGTAATGTATAATTAGAAGAGATTTGATTATCAGTAATGTTTACGTTTTTGTGCGAGATCTAATCAACAAACAAAATTAATTAAGACTGGGAGGCATTAGAATGGCGGCATACACTCTTCAAATCTTCCATAATAACTCTTAAATGTTAAATAATACTAATCGTAAGGTGTAAGAAGGCTGAGCTCCTGCAAACTGAGCGCAACTTGGTGTGAGCTGGGAATACTTTCGTGCGAGGAGATAAATTATTTATTTGTTTACAATAAACGAGGTGCAATTCGCGGTTCGGGCGGCTCGCGCGATTTCTTCAATAATTACAATATTGACTATTGTACGAGTCGCTCATTTTCAACACCCGCTATTATATCTAATGTTACGGAATAAAATTAACTATTCCTCTTAGATAAAAAAAAAATTAAACAGTTTGAAAAAATAAAGTAGTATTTTTTTGTGAACTTGTGTGAACAATAGACTTGTGAAAAAGAAAGTTTAGCATTTTTAATATTCAATAATTTTCGTGTTTCGGATTTTTTGCAATTATTATTATCGATCACTCAATAACAATCACTAAATAAAGCATTACTATTGTATATTTTAGAATAACCGAGAAATTATTTTTATGTTGGATATTTTTTAATAAAAATTTTCTCATTTGAAAAGAGATGTACAATCGCGCGCGAAGCTCCATATTTTTAATATATTAAAACAGAGTAATTTTTCTGTACTCAACTTTTTCTTTAGTCCTCATCAATTGTAAGAATTGTTATTATTATATTATTTTAAAAATTTGACGCGTAGAACGAAAATATCATTATGCGTGCAAAAATAAATTTCGATTGGAAAAGCGAATCATAGAAAATATACATAATCATAGCAGTGCGAGAAAAGCACGTAAAATATTTGACGATAAGTTAAATTAATTAGAGTTTAAACTCTGATTAAAAACAGATAACTTAAAATATCGAGATTCCATTGTATTAGTTTAATTATTGCTCAAATTTCGGAGCAATTTTTGGAAACAGCGGTTTTTGGAAATTCGTAGCTCGTATAAAAGGCGATTATCGTTGTAAATAACGCAGTAAGTGCGAACGCCCGTAAATATGAACCGTCTAAAAAGTGCATAAAATGTACGTATACGTACTGTAAGCGTAAAAAGGAGAATTCTTGTAGTACTTACAATCGTCAGCGAAGGCTAACGGGACGTATTGTGCATTATGTGTCGGGAAGGAAATAAAATCAAAATCGATCGATCGAGAATTCCTGTCTCTTTATCTGCCATCTCTGTCTCTCTCTGTCTCTCTCTCTCTCTCTCTGTCTCTGTCTCTCTCTCTCTCTCTCTCTCTCTCTCTCTCTCTCTTCAATCTATAATGTCCTGTCGAAAAAAAAAATTATATATATTGCTCAATTATATCGTCTCATCCGTTCGAGATCACTGATCACTGGAATGTGGATTATACTGGATTCTATGTAAAAAGATCTGTAATTTTATTTAGTCAGTGATCAAAGTTTGGCTGAGAAAGATCAGAATAATATATATGGAACCGCGAAACTATATATAATTTATTTATTACAAGAAAAGAACAAAATTTACATTTTATATTGACCTGAACATCTTGACTTGGATTTTTTTGAAGAAAAAAACGATCCAATCGCATACGTATTACTTCATTTATTTTATTTACTTTTACACGATGCCATTATTTGTACCGTCTCTGCGCCTTTGCTCAAACTTTTCTCAAATTTTCAATCTTCCGCCGAGACTTCCAAAATCATATAAATTTCTAGAAAGGAAAATGTCTATCCAACCGTAGGCTTTTCCCATAGATAAAAAATGATACATAGATGTGATAATAAGATTTGGTAATATTTTTCTCGTCGTCCGATTAGTTACTATTGCGAGAAACCCTAGAAATTTCCTATTCGATAGCCAATCGTTACGTCGTACGACAGATGACAGGTGATATCTTGAGCAATGAAAATGTCACTAAAAAACAAATTCTCTCATTGGATACGGTGCGGATCTCCTATAACCTCATCTGTAACTGTTTACACCGCTATTTCGCGTCCATACCATTCATCACCTTCATTTTCGCTATCATCACACGTACAATACGTATCATCTCATACGTATCGCCACCCTTCGATCACGTTTGCGTGTGTATAAATTTCGGAATGTTCTCTCTCTCTCTCTCTCTCTCTCTCTCTCTCTCTCTCTCTGCCTTGTCCATTTCAATCTATAATGTCCTGTCGAAAAAAAAAATTATATATATTGCTCAATTATATCGTCTCATCCGTTCGAGATCACTGATCACTGGAATGTGGATTATACTGGATTCTATGTAAAAAGATCTGTAATTTTATTTAGTCAGTGATCAAAGTTTGGCTGAGAAAGATCAGAATAATATATATGGAACCGCGAAACTATATATAATTTATTTATTACAAGAAAAGAACAAAATTTACATTTTATATTGACCTGAACATCTTGACTTGGATTTTTTTGAAGAAAAAAACGATCCAATCGCATACGTATTACTTCATTTATTTTATTTACTTTTACACGATGCCATTATTTGTACCGTCTCTGCGCCTTTGCTCAAACTTTTCTCAAATTTTCAATCTTCCGCCGAGACTCTTCCAAAATCATATAAATTTCTAGAAAGGAAAATGTCTATCCAACCGTAGGCTTTTCCCATAGATAAAAAATGATACATAGATGTGATAATAAGATTTGGTAATATTTTTCTCGTCGTCCGATTAGTTACTATTGCGAGAAACCCTAGAAATTTCCTATTCGATAGCCAATCGTTACGTCGTACGACAGATGACAGGTGATATCTTGAGCAATGAAAATGTCACTAAAAAACAAATTCTCTCATTGGATACGGTGCGGATCTCCTATAACCTCATCTGTAACTGTTTACACCGCTATTTCGCGTCCATACCATTCATCACCTTCATTTTCGCTATCATCACACGTACAATACGTATCATCTCATACGTATCGCCACCCTTCGATCACGTTTGCGTGTGTATAAATTTCGGAATGTTCCGCGCGGACAACCAACAACGCTGGTCGTGAGTGTTTGTGAGTGGTGCGAAGAGGAGGATGAAGATGCTCTGGACGGCGATGATCGGCATGATTCTGTCCAGCGTGCTGGCTGTCACCGCCGCCTTGCATTCCTCGACCGCTTTGAACGGCGGCGGTGATACCCTTGCTCATCACGGTCGTTGCGAGCCCATCACCATCAATCTCTGCATGAACATCCCGTACAACGAGACGATCATGCCGAACTTGATGAATCATCAGAAGCAAGAAGACGCCGGCCAGGAGGTGCACCAGTACGTACCACTCGTTAAGATGAAATGCAGCCCGGATCTGCGTTTCTTCCTGTGCACCGTCTACGCGCCCGTCTGCACCATCATCGAGAAGGCGATACCGCCGTGCCGCTCGCTCTGCGAGAGCGCCCGTTCCGGTTGCGAGGGGTTGATGAACAGCTTCGGTTTCGCATGGCCAGAGGCTTTAGATTGCTCCAAGATGCCGGAAAACGACGGCACGGAGCTCTGCGTGGGTAACAACGAGACTGCGACACCTCGAGAACCAGTCGCACCGGTTTATCCTCCGCCCCGTATGCCAGTAGCGGAGTTTCAGCCAACTTGGAACGAGGGTCCTAAGCCTTACGGCGGTAGTGGCGGTTTCGCTCTAGGTGCCAGAGACTTTGGCTTTGTCTGTCCTGTCCAGTTTAAGATTCCTCATGGATTAGGATATTCGCTAAAGGTCGGAGACAAGGTGGAACCTGATTGCGGGGCACCCTGCGACGGCATGTTCTTCACCGAAAGAGAGAGAAGATTCTCGAGAGTGTGGGTCGGCACTTGGGCTTCTATTTGTGCAGCTTCATGTTTCTTTACTTTCCTGACATTTCTCATCGATACGGATAGATTTAGGTAAAGTTTTTTTTTCTTTAGAGATTGAGTTACATAGTATTTTTGTGGAATGTATCATGCGACAAGTTTACGCATTGCACAAGAGAGTATTGTTGAAGTATGATAGATGTGCCATATTGCATTATTAGTAATTTTTAATATTTGTTGCAAGATTTGTCGATAGAGATCATTAAATAATTAAAATAAATTTATATTAATATAAATACACATATGTAGGCTTTTAGTTATATGATTGATGAAAACAAATGAGTTTAAGAGCTTGTGACTTGTAGCTATTATTGTATACAACAGAAAAATACTATGAAATATAAATCTTTGCAAAATATACAAAGAAAAATTGTCTTTGAAATAAATTTAATTGTTTCAATTTTTGCACAGGTATCCCGAGAGGCCCATTATTTTCTTGTCCGTATGTTATCTGATGGTAGCATTGGTTTACGTGATTGGTTGGGCAGCGGGCAATTCCATATCCTGCAGAGAGCCATTCCCACCACCTATGGGTATTCGAATACAGATGGCATCAACGATCACGCAGGGTACCAAGCATGAACTGTGCACTGTACTCTTCATGGTCCTTTACTTTTTCGGCATGGCGTCAAGTATCTGGTGGGTCATCCTTACTCTCACGTGGTTCCTGGCTGCTGGATTAAAGTGGGGACATGAAGCGATCGAGACCAACTCACAGTACTTTCATCTGGCTGCCTGGGCTGCTCCGGCCGTGAAGACTGTTACTATCTTGGCGATGGGAAAAGTAGAAGGTGAGGAGAGATAACTAAAAAGAAATAAATTTTACATAAAAATGTAGATATGAAATGGATAATTGCTTTATGTCTTCTTCTCTTAATGACAAGCACATTAAAAGTAAAAACTAATCTCATTTTCATAATTTTAGTCATTGGGTTAATGATTAATTGTATTTAGTTATAACAATTAAAAGGAAAAAGTTTTTTTATTTTATATTATTTTCATTAATTTTATATTTATAAAAAAAAACACCATATATTCTATATACTTTTACCTAATTTATATATATATTTTACAGGCGATATATTATCTGGAGTTTGCTATGTTGGTCTTTGGAACGTGGAGGCTCTTCGGGGTTTTGTACTGGCGCCGCTATGCGTCTATCTTTTACTGGGTACTGCGTTCCTTCTGGCGGGTTTCGTCTCGCTCTTTCGCATCCGCACAGTGATGAAGCACGATGGCACAAAGACAGATAAGCTTGAGAAACTCATGATTCGCATCGGGATTTTTTCCGTGCTCTACATCGTACCTGCCCTGATCGTAATCGCCTGTCTCTTTTATGAGCAAACGTATTTCGATCAATGGATGCTTACATGGAACATGGAAATGTGTTCACGTCCGGGTCCGCAATCTCTCTATTCGTTGCCATGCCCGGTTGGTGAACGCACACGTGATCTTGGTCGCAGACCAGAGTTCGAGGTTTTTATGATTAAGTATCTCATGGCGATGATTGTCGGCATAACCAGCAGTTTCTGGGTATGGTCCAAAAAAACGCTCACTAGCTGGCAGCAATTCTTCCATCATATACGAGGTCGCCGCGCCGAGGCCTATGTTTAAAACCGGAGGGTTTTGCTCCCACTAATATCTCTATATTCCTTTTATAATTCCGAGAAATCAGTAAACTTTAAAATGATCATAAAGATTGATGAAATTTTCAAAAACATTTTGATAAGGATAAATTAATGTTTTTCAGCATAGATTTTTATGTAGATTTTTTGCGACTAAAAGGGAAGCGACTAAGAATATTTTCAGAGTAGAGGGACACGTTTATGACATCGCGAGTTTTATAATAATGATGCTAAAACGTATATACGTTCATTAATTAAGTCGATGATCGCATTAGCAGGAGTAATGCTGGACTTCTCGGTGTTATATTTTTTTCTCATAATGTAAAAAATATCATTTTTCATTATAATCAGTTAGTATTACAATCAGTATCCAATCATTAGCTTTTAACAAAAATATTAGTTCATTACTTAAAACATTGACGGAAATCTAAAAATTCTCGCCCAATCTCTTTTACATATTTTATTTATATATGTACACATTATTTATATTATAATTACCTTGCAGTCTTTCTAACTTTTGGGAACCCCTATTTTATAGTAATCAAATCAAGTTTGAATCAAGCTAGCAATAATACTTCATATATGCTTTATGGTTCCCTCATGAATACTTAAAGGCATGCATTAATATGCATCGCAGTGCCAAATAAGTTTTTTGTCTTTGATGTTTCTCTATCGTGTGATCTATGGCTCTGTGAGATATTCGGACTAAATGTCAGTCAGTTTAAAAGTATTACTATACATAACGTTTATTTTTTTTATTTTATTTTATTTTTTTTTAATAGAGTAATCTGGTCTCTTTTTTTTTACAAATGTGACTATGTTTAAATTAAATGCTGTACTCAAATGCTGTAGCAGACAAATCAAATGTTCAAAGTTTTTAAAGCAGCTAATCAGATCTGAGAATCCGATAATATAAGGATTAAGATTTTAATAGCGAGTTCGGTTGAATGTACCTAATGCGCACTGGTGCATATTATATTGTACATAAATTGATATAGTACACACATTAAACAATTGGATTTTCTAAATGTGTTCAGCATAAGTTATCGCATTATGTTGCAGAATACATATTGAACATTTTCAATAATCAGACACTTATATATTATGGTTTTAATATATCTACATATACTATTAAGTATGACAAGCTTTAGTTTACACCAGTGCACATGATCTTTGCATTTAATCGAATTCTTCAGTATAAGGATTAAGATCCACAGATTTTAATAATCGTGAATCGAATTTCATACTGCCAAATTTTTCCGAATTCTGATTTTATTTGATAGAGAACTGAAATCTATTACGCTTAATTTGTACGAAGCGCACTTAGGAAAATAAAAAAAATGCAATAATACTCGAGCGAAGACTTTAACGGCATGGCAATTCCGGCTGTACGTTTCTTTTTTTTCATTTTTATACTCGTTAAGGATAAACTTTTTTGACGATCGATCCTTTTTCCGCGCGATAAATTTATATTATCGTCTGGACTATATATAATGTCGAATACCGAAATCGCGTCTCGAATTTCAACGAGAATAGCTTGTAAGATTTGCTCGTAAGTGTGCTACTTTAGGTTTATACCAACGTTGTATATAATTATATGCGTTCTTTAATTCTACTACTCCATGTATTATAATATATTTTTAAAGAACTCTGTACATATATATACATCAACATGTTATGCATGATTAAACTTGCGCGAAATAACCGCGAATTCGTCCAAACTGAAATTGCCGAGCTTTTGTCTACGAAAATTTCGTGCTACATACAAATGCGATACGCATTTGCGTGATCATTATAATATTGTGGCACGTGCGAGTATATATCGACTTCGTCGAATACGCAAGATATAAATTTTATGGTCGCTATATTCTTTATATAATAAACGAGAAATGCATATATATATATATATATACACATATATGTATGTGTATGTGTGTGCAAATTTTAATTTGCTTTGCCTTAACAGTTTATTTACAGATAATTTTTTTACAACAGATTATGTGGAAACATTCGATTATAAATATGTGCCTACACCATCTATAATTATATTAAAAAATTGAAGCTTTACAAATTATACAGAGGAAGATAACAGAGTTTTGCTTATCTCGATCTAATCCAGCAACAAGATCCTATATTATTAAATTTAGGCATTTAAATTTATACAAAATATACGAATCGATATTATACATATATGACACAAATGTCATTATTGAAAAATTATGTATATGTCATCCAATATTAGTAATTATTAATTATTATCATAAATTTCTTTTCCATAGCAATCTTTACAGTGTTTTATCGTTATACAGGTCATCTCTCGTCAAAATACAATGCGGTAAATATACTTTAATATACAAAAGATATTTTAAAAAAAGAAATAATTATTATATGGGCCTTTACGAAGATGGTTTTACCTTCGGCATCTTGAGCAAGCCTATTCTTCTCAGACGTTTTACTATTATTGGAGTCACAGTCAGGGATATCGATATTCGAACGGGTGCAAGTAGTTTATGAATGGTATACGCTATTACGAAGTCTGTTGAGGTTTTCAGTATTTTATCGATCTGCTCGTTCCCACCTGTCCACTTTTGCATGAAAGGCATTACATCGATCCCACTAAAATTAGAAATTCATGTCAATAAAGAAGAAATGACAAAGAATTTCTTTGAGATAGACTTTGAAAAGCAAAATAACAATTTAAAAGAATCGTATTAATAATGAAATAAAAAAGGTATAAGTTATTTTAAAAATCGTCATGTTATATGAAATGCGAAGATAAAAAAATTTGTGTTAAATAGATGACTATGAGAAGTTAATTATGTACAGTCGTGCTCCAGAAATTGTGCACACTTTGAAAAATGTTAGAAAATTTTTTTGTTAAATTAACGTTTTCATTAAAAAAATACATATAATCTATTATCATAAATTTTCTAATCTAAGTGTTTGTTAGCTGAAAAAAAATGTGTACAATTTCCACACGATTTTTCGTGACTGACCTAATGACAACCATGTAACAACAACCAAGACTTATCAGCGAGATAGTAATGTGAAAGGCAAGGAGAGTGCCACCATAATCCCTCAACATCAGGCGAAATCTATCCCGTTTTGACATGCTCGCGATCGCCAGCGGTGTCAATCGATCCTTTTTGCCGCTCTTCGACGCCTGGGAGTCGTCAGTCGAGTAGCTCATTCCGGCGATATAGCTCGGCCAGTGTGTCGTTCGTAAAAGCGGACTCGTTATGAAGGCATTAGTTGCGGTACCTGAGCGATATAATGGCCTGATGTGAATTTCTGGCTTATAGATGCTTACAGAAGCTTGCACAGTTCTTATTTATCTTGAAGATCTAAGATTCTCAAGTGTACAAGAACCTTCGACAAAGCTTGTGCGACTATCCACATTGCTGACAATGCAATTAATTAATATAACAAGGAAACAGAAAGTCTGTACAAATTTTTAAGCTGTCGTGAAAGTACTATCAATTTGTAGTATCAATCTTTGAATCCTAATAAAGTAAATTCTCAAATTCTTAAATGTATGTAATTAAATATCGACAAAAGATTAATTGAATTAATTTTTAAAAAATTTGATATTTATTTTTTATATTAATATTGATAATTGAATAATTTATATATATATATAATTCATTGTCTCTATTCTTTTTTATACATATAGGTTCTTAAGCACAAAGTATCAGGATATTAAATTTAGAATTCAAAATGCAAAAAGATGCAAGTCGCAAGGAAGCGAAGAAGGGGAAAGCACCTCTACCCTCCAGAATCCATTCAAAGGTCGCTCTTACACGACAGTCTACGATAGTGGGAGCGCTGCATGTCCTCGGCAATGTATTTGTCGTCGCGGGACCATTGTCCACCGGGCATGTTGAGATGCGTAGATCTGCCATGCGATGAAAAGGGCTTTGGCACATTGCTCTGCATCGTGCCGTTTAGACTGACGACGCCGAAGCAGTCGTACGAGTCCATGTGGCCGTTATCGCGGATCTTGGGAAAACCGGAGCTGTTGGCTGCGGACATGATTACGCCGCCGTTCGTCTCGGCATATAGGGCGATATCGCGCACACGTTCCGGCGTGAAGCGACTGGTCTCGTTGGCGAAGATATCGCAGACATTGTTCGGCAAATCGAGTATTGGCGCATCTGGATAATGACGTACACTTGTCACGTGCAACGCCTGCTGCTTCCGATGGATTGCCACTGGAGTCGCATACTGTATTTCCAGAGATGCTACAATTTAAAAACATTATATTATTATATATTATAATATTATATTATGTTGGAATCATAATGAAAATGTAATAAGATAAAAAAAGGATAAAGAATGATAAAATTATATACATTTGGTAATCGCAATATTTTATATGATATATTATATATTGCAATATTTATATGGTAATATGATGAAAGATTATCTAATATAAAATTACTTTGTACCTGTCCGTGAAACGCGAACTAAAGTATTTAACATGTCCAATGTGCCGATTCTCGACAATGCCATGGTCAGATCCGCCAAATATTCAAGGTTGCGTATAAAAAACACTAAATACTGTTAAAGATTAATAGAATAATTTGGAAACGGGGGAAATAATTTTGACTGCACTTCGTCTCGGTTGTAAGTTATAACCTTGTAACCGTAGACATAACATGACATCGCCTTTCTCTGTTTAAAGCCAGCTGCACATGATGCGCTGGGTGTAAAATAATTTTCATCGAATCAAAATAAAAAGAACAAAGATATCTTTGTCCCGATTGGTCGATCAATCAATTGGTTGACCAATCAGAATAAGAAATCTTTGCTCCTTCTGTACTGATTGGTCAATCGAATGCTACTCTATTTCAACGAATGGATTTCCGAACACTACTTTATAGCCAAAAATCAAATGTGTATGCTTGTATATATATCTACACACATCACGGTATCGTAACAAAGTACATATATTTATGTACGTATACACGTCGCGAATCGCTATTTCAATTTCTCTGTTTTTTGTTCGCCACAAAAATCAACGTCAATCTTGCGACTTTCGAAAAGACTGTGTCACATCGAGAATCTTTCTCAAGAATTCGGAAGCAGTCCGAAACGGAGCGAGTTCGCTAATTGTTCTCGGCACGACCGATGCGGAGACTCAACACGAGTCTCGTAGAGGGATCGCTCAAAGATGCAAATGCAGGAAGCCGAGGGTGCGGATGGTGAGTAAACGCACGTTTCTCGTTCTTGGAAACATTCGCGTTTCCAATTATATCCGAGATACGATTCTCCATGAAATACTGATCTCCACGATCTCTGTTCCTTCGACGACTTAACCTTACCTCGCGTACTTCCCCAATCTTTTTACTGGGTCATTCCAAAGTTAATCCTAAGACTTTGTTAAGTTATCGGCATTGTTTAATTTATTTTTGTCGATGAATTTGACTTGTTTGAAAAGAAACGCAAAAACAAAATATAGAAATGCAATATAAATGCAAAAAAGTATGCACTGTTTAAATGTTCTTCTTTAATTAAAATTCAATAATTGTTTGCTATCAAATGTATCGTGATATTTTCTTGCCTCAGGTTCGCCATGGAACAATTCCAGTGGCTGCGACGAGGATCGCAGACCGGTTCAAAAGGAGGGTAAAAAGTCAAACGTACTACCTCTATGGGGCAATGAAAGGACTATGAATTTGAATCCTTTGATTCTCACCAATATACAATCGTCGCACTATTTCAAGGTCAATCTGTATGAGCTCAAGACTTATCACGAGGTGATTGATGAGATTTACTACAAGGTTTCCCATCTAGAACCATGGGAAAAGGGCAGCAGAAAGACTGCAGGCCAGACCGGCATGTGTGGAGGCGTGAGTATGTTTTCTGAGGAGAAATGTCTATCTCTTTTTTTCCTTTAATTCTTTTTGTCTCCTTTCTTTAATTATCAATGCCTTTGTTGAATGTCTAAGGCTTGAAAGAGAGAGAGAGAAAAAGACACAAAGGTCGCACGTCGATGTACTTATTTGTACACAGATAATTGATTGTAGCGCACTAGTCGGCGACTTATGGACGAATTGTCAGACGAGAGGTGAAATATCCAATGCTGAAAGACATATCCAACGTTCAGATCGATAATCAATGTTGATCTGAACGTAGCCAGGCATTCGACGCGTGGAGAGAGATATTGATTGTTGTTATTGCAAGATGGTTTTCGACAATAACAGATCTCGTCTTTGCTCTTATTTTCTTTTTCTTAATATTTTAAATATCCCTATGTTAAGGCGTACATTTAAATATTCAGAAAAAATAGTATCTCTGTCAATTTAAGACAGAAAGTTTAAATTTTGATATTTGTAAAAAAAAAAAAAGATTATAATAAACATAATAGACAAATTTATATATTTACATTAAATTATGATCATGCTGCAATGACATGATGTAAAGCAAAGACCGAGTTCTAACATTTGCTACAGATGGAACCACAATATAGTAAGAAAAAAACCATCTAATTAATATCGTTGAAATTACATACGAGCCGAAGGCTTATAACATATGAAAAATTTAGAACGATAACGCAAATAACTTTGTGATAATAAAATCATACATTCGTGCGATGGTAATATTACCAATGTTGGTGTTCATTCAGACAACTTTAACCCTTTTGGTACTATTACCATCACTGTACAATGCGTAAAGTGTTAACCGCACCACTTATTGCAGAATAGCATGTATTTGGTCCATATGTTGTACGGTAACACGAATGTGACTTAACTGACTGAGGGGGGTGTAAATTTAGCGGTTCATGCAGGTACGAGGCGTGGGAGCTGGCGGGATTGTCTCCACGGCTTACTGTCTACTGTACAAACTCTTTACACTGAGGCTAACCAGGAAGCAGCTAAATGGGCTCATCAATCATCCGGACTCGCCTTATATCCGCGCCTTGGGATTTATGTATATTAGGTGATTTGATCTCGATTTAATATATATCACAAGGATTATACGTATTATTTGTTAGAATTACTTTCGCGTATAATTTTTGAAAAATATAATTTAGGTGATTCTTTAAACGAATATCTAATCGTCCAAATTTCAAGCCATAAGTCGATCACGATTACGATTATGTAAACAATTACAATTACAGATATACGCAACCACCGGCAGATTTGTTCAGCTGGTATAGTGACTATCTAGAGGATGAAGAGGAGCTAGATGTAAAGGCGGGCGGTGGACAAACGATGAAGATGGGAGACATCCTCAAGCAGTTTCTAACGAAACTCGAGTGGTTTTCCACGTTGTTCCCGCGGATTCCGGTACCGATCCAGAAGGATCTAGAGCTGCGACTTGCCGAGCGGTTTCCGCAGCAACAAGTGAATGCACGCAACGCTAAGCCACCGATCACGCTCAACAGCCATGGCAAGTACGGCAATAAAGATAGCCGTAATAAGGACAACGGCAATCTGATGTCCCGCAATCAGCAGGCCCGACATATCCCCGACAGCGAAGCTCAATGGGGTGAGGCGGAACGTACGAGCCACTGGCGTGCCAGGTGCGTCTACGTGGTATGAATACAACGATCACGTTATTTATTAATATTTCTTTGCTTAAAATATTACTTGTATGATTATAATATTGATTTTGTTTCGATACTCGTCAGGATGTAAGGTCAAGGCGACACTCTAGACGCGAGGGAAAAACTTAGGAAATTATTGTCCTTATATGTATATATGTTTGCCATTGACATTTAACGAGGAAGTGAGAAACTAATAATCCCCGCGCAAATATAGATTGTATTATACCTTGCAGTCGGAACAACCAATGTCATACTTCCGTTTGAACGTATCTTTTTGCAGATCCGATGAGGATCGCAAGGACAAGAATAGGGAACGCGATCGGGAGCGAGAGAGATTGCGGGAGCGCGACAGAGAAAGAAATCGTGAAAGGGATCGCGAAAGGGATAGGCACGGCAGAAGATCCAATAGTCGTGACAGAAACAAAAAGCAGAAAGACTACAGAAGCCATAGCAGAGATAAGTCATACAGAGATCGAAGTAGGGACCGTCATCGTGACAGAGATCGACATCGAGATAGGTGAATATAGAAAAAAAAAATACAGAATTTTAAAGAAAGGATTATCTCGTAATTTTGTCAGATAAAAGTAGTACTGTTGCTTTAGAATTCTGTGTTACAGAGCTCTGTAAAAAAATTTAAATGCCAAAGATTTGTCAAAAATACTAATTAACAATCGAATCAATATCAGTTCCTAATTTCTTGTATTTAAAGCTCTTGATTTTTCAATATTCATATTATTGAACTATCCAACGGTGAAATACTAAAAAGCTATAATTTTGTAAGAAAAAAATTTATATTCAATATTTTTCATTTCTAACATCATACTACGATATGGATGAAACAAGGAAACAGGAATATTAAAGCTTTTTACATTAGATGTTTTTCGTGTTTAAATTTCTTACATTCAAATTTGTGTTTTGCATCTCGAGATTAATACAGATTCTAAAGAGTAATTATTTTAATTTTAGGAGAGGTTCACCGTATGACTATGCCACAGAATTGGCACGTGAACGTGAAAGGCAACGAAGAGAGAGATTTTCTCTCTCTCTCTCTCTTTTTCTGCATATACTGTGTACATATTTAATTATTTATATGAATGATGGGGAATAAGAAAAAGTCAGCAAGCTATGATGCCAAGTCATCCATATTAGCACGCATCTACTATGTGTGCGTTCATGGAAGGATGCAGTCTGAAACAGGATATACTAGCCTAAGTTTAACTCGTATATTCACACATATGTAGTTTACATGTTTTTATAAAATAAACTCGTCACACCATCACTGCTGCCTTTTACCACGTATATCCTGTGATATTCTTATGCTGTTGTCTTGAAAGATTTGTTCAAACAAAGAATAAATTGTTTCCAATGTTTGTTTTTTTTCATTATAAAAAACTAGAATGTCTTATATGTAATTGTGGACTGTCTAAATAATTATTTTAAAACTGATTGCTTTTTATCAATCCTATATAAAAAAAAAAATTTTTTTTTAGATATTTTTCTTCACGTAATTTGTTTTCTCTATGAAAAACGAATAAAAATTTGAAGTTGCTGAGCTAATTTTTAATGCGCGAGTTTCATTTTAGCAGTGTGGTATGAATTGGTATGAATAAAATAAGACGACGGATCTTGTCAAGATAGGTCGCTGTGGCCAACGGCCAAGTGCGGCGCGGCTTGATGAAGTGGCGAGCAAAAATGGCGACGATGTTCGGACGCGGATGAAGACTGAAGTTGAAGAATGCGACAAATCAACGAACCATGAGGCACTTGTCATTAGGTGACAGCGTGGCAAGGTGAAGAAGCGATCGAAAAGTTAAAGTTATCGCTGGCGTTCGTTACCACGAATGGACTCTCTGAACGCACCAGTATCGATTCTCGCGTACGTGCGCGAATAAAATTCAGAATTTTTGTCGCCCAAGTTTTAGTGTTTATGTTGTGTTGGACTGTGTTATATCCACAATTATGATTTTGATGGAGCGAGAAGACGTTCACTTAATTATAATTAACGGTAATTACTATATCGGCGCGAGTCACGTCATAAGTCATAACTATGATCTGCAAGCAGGAAGTGCGTCACGCGACGCGGGAAATTTTATTTTTGATTTCTTTTTTGCAAAAATCTATTTTTCTATCAATTTTTTGGTAATTTTAAAAAATTATCTCATATTCTAGAATGTAAATTTGTAAAAAGGAAAACTCTTTATTTTGGGGAAAATATTAATGATAATTTGAGATATAATCAACTCAATTAATGGTTTAAGAAAAATCAAGAAAATTAAAATTTTTTTGCTGGGACATGCAAACCTGGGGATTCTAAATATATGTAGATGGAATATTTAGATATTAATTAAGATTTAAATAGAGATATCTCAGTTCCCCAAAGTTAACTTAATATAAAAATTATTAATCTCGATTTAGTAATTAATAAAATTAATTTATAATCTAATTTTATCATTTCACAATTATATAATAACTGTTAATGTTTACAAAAATCGCAGATGATTGGCCGACGTTGCGCTTTTTTCGCCTTGAGCGTCCTCCTGACATTAGTCCTCGGCGTAAACGTCTACTTTATCCGGATGATTGTCGAGAGTTCCTCGCAAAGGAAGACCGCCTATTCCAGAAATATACCGGAACCAAAATCTAAGCAAGACTCTTTCACATCTTCACGCTCCAATGAGAAGGATCTGCAAGATCGACCACAGTTGAGATTGATTGCAAAAGATATTAGTGAGAAGATCAAGGAAGAAATTCGCACGCTACCCTCCAAGTATTTTAAACAAAACACCAGTTATACGCTCGTTCTGGAACGGCTACTGGCCGAGCTGAGAATAATGTCGAACGTTCGCGAGGATATCTGGAATATTCCTAATAACAATGTGAGTAAGAAAAATTTTCCAAAGTATTTTGCAACATTCAAAGAATTTAAAACAGATTTCGAAATTTTAAAATCTAATTTTGGACATTAAAGACAATAAATTAATTTTATATATCTCTAATAATATTAATTTTTAATTTTAAATTTATTTTAATTGTAGAAGATCTGAGATGAACTGGGCTCTAATTTCTGATCTTTCTCTGTCTTTCTACAATGTTCGAAGATTTTATTATCTTGATTAATTTTAATAAAGTTATGTCATCAATCTTCAATCATGTTTTTATAATTTATTTAATTAAATTAAGTAAATTTATTAGTATAATAGTGAAGTATAAATAATATTTATTGTATGCATAGTGGCCGGATGCACATCACCTGATTCCACCAGCAGCTCCGGAACTAGGGACTATCCTAGAGGTCTTGCGAAAGTCTAAAGTAGTTCGTGCCGATAACGCTCCGTTGGGTACTCAGCTGAAACTCATGCTTAATCTGGAAAATGATGTAAAAGCATTATTTAAACCGCAATGGTATTCTAGAGATGCTATTATACATGGACCAGTATACCACGGCAAAGATAGACACAATGCTGAAGTAGTGGCTTTTTATTTATCATCCTTGCTAGCATTGCGAAGAGTACCTCTCACCGTTATACGAAAACGTATGTTGAAATACAATGAAATAAAATGATGGAAAAAAATCCATCCTAATTGGAATTGTCGTAGCATTTTTAATTAAATTAGAATTACAATTCATCGAATCGTGATGTGGAAATCTTTTCTAAATTATCTTTCCATTTTTATTTTAATAGAGATCTTAAGAATTTGCAATTCAAACCTTAATCGTCTTCGATTGTAATTCCTTTAATAAAGAAAGCAAAGTATTTTTGAACTTTTTGTTATAAATTAATAAAGGCATTCTCTCTTTCTATTCGTAGTTAATCTGATGGAGGAAGTTCGCAACTGTGCGACGCCATCATTATATACAACCATGCATCAAGAGGGTAATAACACGTGCCTATATGGTGTTTGCCATTATTGTTCTCCGGCTGATCCCGTTTGCGGATCGGGGGATATACTTGAAGGTGTCCTCATTTTTTGGCTTCCGCGATATTTAAGACTGGTCAAACACCGTCATCCTTGGCAACGAACGTACAAAAAAAATAAACTCGCTGCATGGGAAGTTGACGAAGCTTACTGTGATAAGGTATATTGTTAAGAATAGAATTTTTTATTAGAAATATTTAAATATAGTATAATATATATTAAATACTATATTTAAATATTAATAGACGAAATTATTAAAGGTTATTTAATATGAGGTGTTGTGTATTTGGTTTAATTACTTTCAATTTATGTATTTTACATTTCTGCAAAATAAAAAGAATCATAAAATTATGCAGTTGCGAAATACAAACTTTACATATTGCCAGAAATATACGATCATAGTTAGTTTATGTTCCTCAGAGAATACGAGATTAATAATTTATATATTTTTTTTTTTTTAAGGTGATGGATTCTAAGACTTATTCGCCGCAATCGTCTAGCAGACTTTTGGACTTGATCGATACGGCAATCTTCGACTTTCTCATGGACAATGGCGATCGTCATCATTATGAACTTGCGCAAAATAATTTTCATAATCCCGCGGTGCTGCTAATCGACAACGGAAAGAGTCTAGGCAATCCCGATATAGACCATCTCGATATCCTGGCACCTCTCTATCAATGCTGCATGTAAGTACAAATTGCAATTGCTAATTAAGTGAAATAAAATGTATTTAATGTGTTTTACTGTTGTTATTTCCGAAGCAATTTGAAATCTCTACAGCCGCATTAGAAATCTATCTTTGTTTTATTTCCCCTTTGTTAGTTTTAGACTTAAAAATTGCGTGAAAAATGGGATAAAAATTTTAAAAAAATCTTAAAATTTCTTTACAAAAGGGTATTTATATGTTTATATTCCTCAAATTCTTCAATTTTATTTACTTTTTAATTAGTTAAACTAAAAATTAGTTAAATTTCTCAATTCCCTCCCCTATTGATTTTTCACAAAGAACATTTCCATTTATATCAAAATTCTTTGACAAGCTTTAAAAAAAAATCAATTATATTTCAGAATTCATAAAACTACATGGGACAGATTGCGATTATTCAGTGGTGGATCCTTAAGCATTGCATTGGGTAGACTTACTGCACATGAAGCTGAAATATCGGATGTCCTTCCTCTGATCACAGAAGCGCATTTAAATGCCATGGACAGAAGATTACTTATCGTATATACCGTGGTGGAAAGTTGTCTGAAGAAAAAGAAATATGTTTCCAATGTGATCCTGGATCATCGGTAGCCCGAAGAGTTTATTTATTTTTTTTATTTTTTTAAAACAATGCAAAGATTTTTGACATAAATGAAAATGTTTTTTGTGAAAAATCAATAGTGAGAAGGGTGGGGGGGGGGGGTTAACTAATTTTTAGTTTAACTAATTAAGAATTAAATAGAATTGAAGAGTATAAAAAATATAAACATATAAATATCCTTTTGTAAAGAAATTTTAAGATTTTTAAAAATAATATTTTATCTTGACAATTAGTTAGGAACTCAATTTTCTATGTAGAATACTTACAATTTTTTTAATTCGTTAATTTGGTCTTAACATCTTGGTGTAGTGTAGAATATTATTTAAGAGAGAGAAAATATAATTTTCGCTGGAAATAATTTTTCAAAGCATTATTTTTCCATGCATTTCTTTCGAGAGATAAATGCGGAGATTGAAATGAGGAAGATGAACAAGACAGATTTGAATGCGATTTATTTGATGACATAGTTAATTATCATTATTTGGATAAAGTTTGGAGTGCTGTGTACAGCGTTATAAATACGGTACAAACGTAAAAAAACCTGTAAATGCGTTTGCATTATCGTATGTGTATTATTATACGTTGGCATGTCCCCTCCTCTCTTCTTATCGGAGTTAGAGAACACCATGCCGTCAATCATATACATTATATATAGTCTTCGTGAATCTCGCATTATTTCCCACGACAGTAATTTTTTAATTAGCATTATTAAAAATGCACTTTTATTTTCTGCACTTTTTTCATCCTTTTTTCTAAAAATATGTAACCCTAATTTCTAGGAAGTTGTGTGTTATCTGGAATAATAAACTCATAATTCCTGAACTTTAATAACTTCAAAAAAAAGTTGAGAGAAAGAGATAATTATGATTTTATTTTGTCGGGCAATATATTTTCTAACAAAATCTTTTATATGAACTTTTGATTCTAATTACGTAAGATTAGGATTTCTCTTAAAAAAAATATATATATATATATACATGGAATATAGAAAAGAGTGATACATGTTTCTTCTAGCTACTTGCAAGATATCATAAATGAAGATTGACTTTAAGTAGAAAATGTAAGAAAGTGCAGGCAGGTAAAACTGTCGCAGGGAGATATCGAGGCCCATTTGTGTGGGACTTTGAATCGAATTTGCAGCATTCTAGCGTAACCTATCTCGCTTTATGTATCATATTTACAACATTATGACCAGAATTATTCACGTACCTTACAAGCTAGTTAAAAATTCCATTTTTTAAATATGTATATATTTATATAATATATTTAGAGCGCCATATCGTCGTTCAGGTATATGAGTATGTATATATATATACTATATATATATATATATATATCAACATTTTTTAATTAAATAGAACTTTCGTAGCAAAGTATGTATAAATAGACTATCTTTGCACAGACCACGATCGTTTGCTTCGAACTCGCTCGCTTTTATTTTATTTGTTTAGAAGCGAGAATTTATTCGTCTTTGAGATCCGTCCACATTTAGATAATTTTACATAAAAAATATGTATCGGACGAGAGAAAGAGAAATCTCTTATTCTTTGAGAATTTCTCGGTTCGAAGCCATTCTCTTTTTTTATGCTCTACCATTAATACTGTATATATCAAACGACGAGATCGAGACGAGTCGATTTTAATTATATGCTCGTCGTGAGTGAAAAACTGCATCCCATCAAAATAGAATTCCACAAACGGCAGCGTAGAAATTATTGCATTGCATTCGCGTGTTTACGCTCCGCAAAAAATTAGTCGAACCGAAAAAAATTGAGGATGAGTCTCTTTCTACGAAATCAAAAATTTGATTAAATTAAAAATAAAAAAAAATTTACTTGCACAATTTACCTTAACCTCTCTGCTAAAAAGTTAATCTTTTTTATGCATTGGAATTCTTTTTGTTATTTTTATTTAGTAGAGAAGACTTTTGAAACAAATTCAAAAAGATTTTTATCTTATTTTCCAAATCTTAATTAAATTTAATAAAATTCAGTTTTAATTTAATTTTAAGTCTCCTAATCTCGAAAATATGTAGAACTAAACTAATTTCATAGAATGGATCTTGTGAATAAAATCCTTTCAGTTCGTCTATTTTTCGAGGAGCGAGGAGTCGCCGCGATTATTTGTTGTCGCCGTTCTTCGTTTATTTAATATTATATATCACACCTTTGGTGCAGAATGCACGTAGAAATCTATAAATCTAGGCCAGCTTTAATAGGCATATTAAATTCCTCTTAGGTCGTTATTGAAGCTCTTGGTACCGTGCGATTTCAAAATAGCTGGCGCTTCATTGTGACTTGTTTTAATTTTATTGCGTTTTAGAGGGGTTTTAATAAACGTAAAAAGATGATATTTATTGTGACAAGAATTATTGCAAATATTTAATTGAACTCTTACCTCGACTCGGAAGTATGATTTACATTTGTAACTTTCTTTCTCGGTTTTTAATCTTAGAGATATTCCGCTGATAATTTTCCCTGATGATGACATATCCCCGTTTTTTTGTAATTACCTTTTATTTATAAATAATTTCTCTTGCTCTGAATTTTCGGTGATCAGAATGATTGCAAGAGTTATCGATTTTTACTTTTATATCTTTCTTAGCTATTGAGCAGTCGATACACAAATGTCTCGACCTTTCGGCGATAAGTTTTTTCACGATATCTTTAGTTAATTTAGAGTGCCGATTCCACACCTCGTGTCGAGCTGCTCAAATCTTCCGAATGGCGAGTATGCGACGAATCGAGGGACGTCACCGAGTCGCTGTCGTTGCTGTGCGGGCTCGAATAATTAGCCGCTTCTTGAAGCCTCATCAGCATATTAAGCTGCAAAAATACGGATTAAATACAACATTAAAATCATTTTATTTAATAAGATTACAATTGAATGGTTTTTGGAGAGCAATATAAATAAAATAAATTTCTCTATATAAGTATAGTATAAATTAATATAATTTTCGTCTGCTTTTTTCTTCCTTGTTTCTATTATTTTATTTATTTAAAGGGATAAGTTCTTATGTAAGTTAAGTTCTATGTGACGTGATAATATATTATAATTAATTTATTTTTAAATAAAATTA